TTGGACGAAATTTCCCCTGAACACATTATCTTTCATTTTCTTCTCTGCTTGTTTCCCTCTTCCTTTGACCTAATATCCTGTGGGTTCACATCTTTAGACCAAAGGTATTTTCATCATTATAAAGCGAGAGGCCAGGCTAGCTGGGAATTAAGTGGGTCAGCGTTTGGGTAAGGGAAGGCTGGGAATCAGAAGACGGGGTGCTGCTCTGTGGCATCATTTGCTACGCCCACGCCAGTAAGGAGGGGAATTAAACATGTCCAGTTGGGATAACATTCCTCCCACAAAAAGCACACGGTTTGGGATGTGATTTCTTGTTACTGGCCTCTCTGCAGCCAGACAAAGCCTACATGTGCAGGAACGAAGAGCCTCGGGGGAGTCTCTTGCCTGCATGGCTGTTAGGAGTGGGGTGCTTTTTTGGGGGGGCAGAGGGCCGAGGTGATGGACTCCCGATCTGAGCAGAAGCTCAGTACTGTGTACTGGTGGAAACCCTGTGGAAAGTAACACTCATCCACTCTTGCGTTTGCTTTTGTGCTTTGGAAGTCACTGCATTTTATGTTGTGTTTCCACACTGTATTCTACAAGCCAGAAAAGGACAGCACGTCGGATCTCCTAGCCTCGACGGCCCGGAGCCCCAAGGCGGACGGCTAGGCCTGACATCAGGGCCTGCGGGCTGGGCCCCGCCTTCGTCCAGCAGCGCTGCCCACGCCGCAGAGCAACCTCCAGGCTTCATCTCATGCCTTTACGCAGGGCCGCTGCCCTCTCGCTGCAGAACCCCAGCCTCACTTTGCGTCCACTTAGCTTGACCACAGGCTGCCCGGCTGCTGGGCGGGACGTGACTCTGGGTGTGTCTGCGAGGGCTGTCTGAGGGAGGCGAAGGCGCAGTCAGTGGGCTGAGCAGAGCAAACAGCCCTCCCCAACGCAGGGCGCTGCCTGGAAGGCCTGATGGGAAACAGGCGGGTCTTGGGAATTCGCAGTCTCCGTGAGTGTACAAAGAGGGGGCCCGTGGGAGGGGAGTGGACACCAGGTGAGGGCTGGACGGAGGACGCTGTCTGCTGGCTTGGTGAGGGGCTCCCTGGGGCTGGGTGACACGGCCTCTGGGATCAGCAGGCCTGGAGCTTTGTTTCCACTCCCTCTCTGCCCTCCAGGGAAGTCAGGGTCTCCATCCTGGTGCTCAGCAGGAGAAAAACAGCACCCCAAACGGAACCTCAGGGCCCCCCAACATGTGCAAGAGCAGCTGGAGCTTCTGCTGGCCAGGTCCATGCTATCCTGTCTAATTAATGGTCAGTGCATGTTGAGCCACAGCAAGGAACAGCAGAGGAAGGCATCCCTAGGCCCAGGGCCCAGGGGACCCCTGGGCCCCCGGAATCAGGAGGAGCAGCTCTGTCCTCCAGCCCCCCGGCTTCTCTGGGAGGCCACCTGACTCTGCTCTTGCCCACCCACCCTTTGCACAGGAGCCTGCTTTTCGCATGATGGAGCAATCCATGTGCAAGTGAAGCTGGAGCAGCCCTGGCGAGCCCTCCGGCCCCCTCTCCGGGCCCACTCCCAGGGGAGACCCCACGCAGCCGATGCCAGGGCAGGCGGATCCCTGTTCTCTTCCAGACAGGCCACCGGGAGACACCGGCCCTCCAGCTCCGAGGTGTCACCCCCAGCCAGCCAGCGCCCCCTCCCTGGGTCACGAAATGGCTGTGTCTCCCCTGCAGAAATACCTTCCCTGGACCGGGTGACAGAGGCCCCCAGGGACCCCTAGGGCTCTGGACAGCTCCCACACGGCCCTGCTGAGGGCCCTGGGCCATGAGAACTCTCCCCTACCCTCACGCCAGGCACCCCAGAGCTGTCCAGGAAGGTCCTCCTCGGGACCCTGGAAGCTGAGCCCGGGCGGGGCTGCTGCCTGAGGGAGACCCGGCCTCCTGGGGGGGTGCCCCTCACCTCTGGGCATGGAAGGATCTAGAAAACAGACTGTGGGTATTCACAGCCAGGTGTTCCCTTCTTGCCCCGTGTGAGGCTCCTGGTGGATTGTCCACTCCCTGTCCCCCTCCCCGAGCTGGCCATTTGCAGCGTCTCTTCTCCTGGGGACAGTCCAGGGCTGACTCTACCAAGGGAAGGGGCGGAGGTGACTCAGGTCCCGCGGTGCCCGAGTCAGGGGCCCCACAGGCCAGGAGGACACCGAGCGCGAGCTGGAAGGACCATGGACTCGGCCCTTCGGGACAGCTTGGGGTCAGGGAGAAAACGGGGGATTCAGGCCTGTGGGGTCAGTCCCCGACTCTGGTTGGCTGACGTAAGAGCCCACATGACGAGTAACAGAGGGCGGGAGACTCGGCGCGTCGGGAGCCGCGCTGCTCCGCTCTGCGTCTCGCTGACTCACCAGGAGCAGACCCGGGGTCTCGAGTGTTCCGAGCCGCAGACAGTCTTCCTGGCAGGGTTTGCCTTTTCCTCCAAGTCTGAAAAGCAGGTGCTTGTTCCTGGAGACCAGAAAGGGGTCAGTGTCCCCTCTCACCCCCCTGGCCTGCCCGCACGCCCGCAGCAGTTAGGGCGTCACTGTGCGGGTGGCCTCAGCTTTTTCCTCTCTTGCTGGGGAGTTTCTTGCTGTTTAGAATATGGAATGCTGGCCCCCCTTTTAAATGTTACCCCCTTTAATAACTTCTCGGCCCAGGAATGGCAACACTTTCGCCAATAGCAGTTTCCTGAAGTGTCTCCGTCTGCCCAGTGTGAGTGAGCGACCTGGTGGGGTCCCGCCTGCAACCCCCTCAACAGTGGTGGAGACCCGGTGACCACTCAGACCCCTGGGGCTGAACCTGGGACTGGCCGGGGGGAAGCGGAGCTGGGAAGGAGAATTCCTGCCCTCCCCGGGCTCCGGCCCTGGGTCCCGCCCTTTGCCTGCCGGGATCTTAGACGATCAGAACCTGAAAGTGAACCTGGTTTTCTTCCGCTGTTCTCTGGCGCCTGCGCTGGCCCTTGGGATTTTTCAATAGTTTTATTCTCTTTCATTTTCTTTAGACTTTAGCAACTAAGAGGTGACAACAGGAAAGCGTCATCTGGGCAAAAACGAGGCTCTTTGAAGCAGCTGGTGTCGGGGAAGGCGGCTCTGGGGTGCGGGCGGGGTGTCCTGACTGGCGGGAAAGGAGGGGACCCCTCGCTGCGCCCCTGCGCACAGCGGGGCTAAGGGAGCTTCTGCCCCAAGGAGTCCTTGCCAGGAGAGGTCAGAGCCTTCTCGTATTCTAGTGACCCGCAGAGGTACATGACATCAGATCAGACTCACGTCCCCGCACAGAACAGCGGTATTTTGGGTAAAGGTGGAATTTTTTCAAGTCAGCAAAGTGAGCAGGAGGCCAGCGTGGGCCGAGGCCGCCTTTGAAGGACCCAACCTCAAAGTCTGACCAAGCATCTGGGCTTTAGAGACACTCACGAAACCACAGTAATGGGGCGTCGGGGGCTGCGGGCGGGCCTGGCCAGCGGGCTCTGACCTCGGGCCGGGGGCTCCTGGGGGCGCCCCGCTGGGGCACGGGGCGCAGTCTCGGGCTCTCTCCGCACACCGTGGGGGCCGCGCCGCCCTGAGCGCACCGGGCCGCCCTCCGCGCGCTCCTCGGCTGTTGACCGCGGCGAGAGGCCACTTGGGAGTGTGAGGAGGCCGCTGGCCGTCCGCGGGGGCGCGTTCTCCGCACTAGCCCGAGGGTTTCGGCTGGACAATCCCTGCTAAGACCTAGGCCCCATCCTGCCCCCTCTGCGCGGGGAGCGCGGGGAGCGCGCGGCCCCCTCAGGCCTGGCCGTCCTCGCGCGGGGTCGCTGGGCGCGGGGCGCGTGGCTCACCCCGCAAACCCACCGAGAGCCCACGAGGTGCGGGCGCGCCCCAGGAGCCGCAGAGCCGGGAAGGGCCGTGGCTGGGGGCGGGGAGCGCGGCGGGGCTGGCCTCGTGGGCGGGGGACCCAGGGCTCCTCCTCGGGGTGACTCCGCTCTGGGCCTCGCTGACCCAAAGGGCTGCGCTTGCTGTGCGGAGCCGGGCCGTGTCCCCGCTCCCCGCTCCCCGCTCCGTGCTCCCTGCCCGGGGCCTGCTGGAGTCGTGCAGCGTCGCGCCCTCCCCATGCCTTCCACGGAGCCGCGTCCCGCGCGGACACCCGCCACCACCCCCCCCCACCCCCCCCCCCCGCCGTCCGCGCCAGCCCGGGGGCGCCAAGCCAGAGCCGGCCAGGCGGGCGCGGGGTTCGGCGCCCCCCACGCGATCAGAGGGCGCTCGGGCAGCAGCGACAGACAAGACACAGCCGGCAGCGTCGGACCTTTATTGGCGCGGCCTCTGCGGAGGCGCGAGAACAAGACGCTCCAGCGGCGACGCGCGGCTGCCCCGCGCCCCAGACGCGCGGCCACAGCAGCTGGGGGTAAAGGGGCGCTGGCGGTTTGGGGGCGAGGGGACAGGGGGAGCCATGCAGCGGGACCCCAGGGCAGCGCCGGCGGGGTGCGGCCGAGGCGCTGGGGTCCGGCGGGTGCCGAGGGCCAGGGGTGGGGGGTTGGGGTCCGGGGGTCGGGGGTCGGGGGTGGAGGCAGGAGCGGGGGGCCAGGACCCGGCTGGGCCAGCGCGCGGGGGGGCCGCAGGCGGAGCTGACACAGCAGCGGGCCTGGCGATCTGGAAGCGCTGGAGGCTTAAGAAAAGGTGTGAGGTGACGAAAGTTCTAGAAATCGTTTTTTCCAAACTGTATTTTGACAAAAGGGAGCACCACGGGTCGCAGAAGGTCATAAAACACCGTCATACAATGTAGATTAGGAGCGGGCGCGGGATTCCACTGAAACACAGACACCCACGAAGACTCAGCGCCACCTGCCGAGGCTGACCACGGGGCCCGCGCGCCGCGGACTGTGCTGGCCGAGGCCCTCGCTCCTGCCCGCCCCGCCTGCCCACCTGCCCGCCCCGCCTGCCCACCTGCCCGCCCCGCCCGCCTTTCCCTGCACTGCGGGGCGGCCGCCCGCACACAGCCTGGAGACCCCGGGTGGGGCGCGCGCCAGGTGCCCGGCGGTCAGATGCTGCTGTCCCAGAGCTCGGGGGGCAGCCGGCCCCCGCACGACGCCCCCTCCGGCTTCTTCAGCAGACTCGGCTTCCTGCAGGGCGGCGGGGGCGGGGCCCTGGGCTCCGGGCACGGCAGGACGCGCGGCCAGTCCTCCCTGCGCTCGCACAGCTGGCGCCGCCAGTCCAGGAGCTCCTGCAGGGCCGCGCTCTCGTTCTCCGAGAGCCGCAGCTGCTGGATGACCTGCGGAGGAGAGGACAGGACACCGTCACCCCGGGCCCCAGAGCGCCAGGGACAGCGGGACGCAGGGGGCTGGACGGGGTGGACCTGCAGACCCGCCTGTGCCCTGGGTGCCTCGGGGTGCCTGTTGGGGAGACCACGGGGTGGGCGCCAGGCTGCACACCGGGCGGTGAGCAGAACAGACACGGGGACCCCGCAGCGGACCTGCGATGTGGCCCAGGGGCTCCCCCCAAGGCAGCAGGCCCTTGGCCTCAGGGATGATGTCTGTGCCACTGACTCCTATTCTAGACATTTCTTTTTGAAATAATCTTGGTTGAAAACATCATGTAGGTCGGGGCGTGCAGCCTTATCACTCGAAGTCTAGCGTGTCCCATCACAGCTGACTCGCGGTGTCTGTCCTTCTCTGTCTGGCCTCACCTAGCACAGCACCGTCTCGGTTCATTCATGTTGCTGCCATGATGAGGTCTCAGCCCTTTTCATGGCTGAGTAGTATTCCACTACAGCTTCGGGGCGCATTCAATGATGGGACTTGGGGGTGTTTCCGTATCTTCTGTGAATTCAGCTGCAAAGAATGCAGGTGCAGGCAGCTCTTCCCGCTAGTGCCAGGGCGCCCCGTCTGCCAGGCCCTCACCAACGCGCCGACTGCATGACTCCCTGAGCCTTCTCTCCATTGGGTCATCACAGGTGTGTCTGTCTGCGACGGGCGCTTTGGGTTTCTCAGGTCTCACCCCATTCTAGACTCATCTCCATCTAGCCACTGTCACTGAAGGGAAGGTGGCCCCATCTGAATAACTCACGCTGCCCAGTGGCCATTGCTACACTAACACAGAAACTGTTTCCTCCGAGACGGCCACTGGGCCGGCACAGGCAGGACTACCCCGGTCAAGGGTGAGCCCGGTGCCCGGGTCTGAGGCAGAACCAGCTGGAAGGGCCACGGGTCTGCTGGGCCCATGGAGCCCGAGGGCTCTGCCACCAGGGAAAGGGCCGAGGGGTGGGCTGAAGTGGGCATAACAGTGACCCATTTAATGGACACTGCGAGGCGCAGGGTGTGCAACGCACTTTTCAAATCTCCCCACAAATGCACGGCAATCCTCCCACAGTCCCACGTGGCAGCGCCAGCGCTTGCAGGCGAGGACACCGAGGCTCCAGGAGGGCACGTCGCGCGCCCAAAGTCACATGGCCATAGGGGCAGGGGCAGTCTGGCGCGCAGCCCTTCTGGACTGAGTCCACGGCGCCTCCTTGCATAACCACTGCCCAGCGCCTGGCCATGCCAAGGCCAGGCCCACACCCCTGCTGCTCTCCTTCGCTGTCTAAATGGGGTTTGAGCCAAATCAAAATATGGATGCAGTGACATTTCGACGCAGGCTCATTTAACCTGTGGCCATGGAAGGTTTGTGCACGTGCCCCCGGCAGACGGTCAGCACGCAGTGACCGCCTCGACAGCGTTCTCCTGGGCCTGCTCTTACAAGAGGGTCCTAATGGGTGGGGAACATCTCAGCCTCAACTGATTATTGTCCCAAAACTTCCAGAAACATTATCTTTAGGTGCCACGACTTCAGATCCATCTATTTGGACACAAATCAAGAATACGGTAGCCACCACAAGTGACTGCTCGAGGCAAAATGAAAGAAAGAGGGAGAAATTATAAAATCATGTATTTAAAACATCAGAAAGCTCCTGCACAACCGAGAACTAGAGAAACTACAGCTCTCCACGGAGAGACCCTTTCTGCGTGAACAGGTGATTATCAACGGCCTTTTCCCGCCTGTCAATTCTGAGCTTTTGGGGCTACAGCAAACTTCCAGGAGAAGGAAAAGCCACAGCAGGATTTGAGTTGCCTGCGGTTAGAGAAAGAACACGGCACGGCCGGCTATTTCCCCAAATAGCCCTGGCTGCCTGGCTCTGCGGTCGGGGCTGGGAGCAGCAGAGCGGGGCCTCCTATGGCGGCAGAGGGGCTTCCAAAGCAGTGTGGTGACCACCTCAGGCACCCACTGGCCTCAGCTTCAGGATTGCAGGTTTTGACACCAACCGGGGCCTGTGGCTGGGAGCAGGGCCCGCAACTCTGAGGAGGACTGCAAGGCCACCTCTGATCTGCCAGAGCTGAGGAGCAGAGCAGCCGCGTAAGGATCCAGTGGGCGTCAGGGAGAGCCAGAGGTAGACCAGTTCTCCAGCACAGCTCCCCGTGTCGCCAAGGTGGCAGCTGCAGCAAGGCCACTCCCCAGCCCCAGCTTAAGAGGGGGGCAGAGCCCCAGGTGGAAACAGCACAGTCAGCACCTGGACGGCTCGCACAGGCTGCTCCCCTGCAACCGGGTGCCGTGCTCGTGAGGGAGAAGGAAATTCACCCACAGCCCAAAAATGAACCAGGTTCCCGGGTGACCCAGGGGCTAGAGCTAGTGGATGAAGACTTTCAAACGCCTCTGATGACATGTTTAAGGGGCCAGAGAAAAGGATGGACGAGTCGCAGCAACAGCAGGACAGACACAGACATAAAAGGACTCGAGTCGCGGCAGAGATAAGAGGGATGTCGCAAAGCAGCATTCAGAGATGCTTCCAGAGCGCGCGACGGCACCAGCAGGCTCACTTAAGGAGCTCAGCAGAAGATACACACGCCAGCAGCCACAGAGGACACAGCAGGTCGGTTAAAATTGCTAAAAGACAGAGACAAGGAAAAAGGCTTTGAGAGTCCGGAGGAAGAAGGCAGATTTCTTCCGGGCGAGCAGTGAAAGCTGGGCCAGGGCAGAAGCGCTGGGCACCCGAGAGCAGCGGGTCGCGGGAGAAAGGGCCGAGAGGATGTGATTCCACCACCGCTCTGCCCTCGGCGGCCCGGCCCCCAGCAGAAGGGCGACACGGGTGGCTTCGGACAGACGAAAGTGAGCATGTTTGTCATCAGAAGCTAGTGTGGGTTTTTTTAAGGCAAAGGAAAACGATCCCAGATGAGAAAGTGGAAATTTTCAAGAGATTTAAGGACACCTGGAAACCAATTCCTGGGCAAGCAGAAATGAGAGGCTTACGCTGTCTGAGAGACCGTGTCCAAGGAGACGCCAGGAGGGCTTACCTGAGCGTCTAGCATCAATTAAGAAAACGATGAAAGTGGCGACATCTATTTTGATGCAATAGTCAAGGCTGTGTGCTTTACCGACCAGAGAAACTATAAAAAAGAAGCGTGAAAGAGCAGATAATTCACACGCTCATGTGCGAGAATGCGCGATCGTAATTGCTCCATGAACCTAAAACAGAGCAAGAAGAGGAACACGAGCCTGGGAGGTCCCCGCCCGCAGCTTGGACGCCGGCACAGTCAAGTCCAGCGCGTGGACATGACCCTCAGACCCACCCGGCCTCACCCGAGCACAGGACATGCCCGATCCGCTTCTTCTCGACCCCAAAATCTCCTCAGCAGCTTTCACCATGGCCCAAGACACATGCCAAGTGTGGGCCTGGGATGGGGCTTCGGGGCAGATGGCTGTGAAGGCTGGGCCCGCAGAGGCACGAGCCGCTGAGAGGGAGAGGCTTAGGGGCCCCGGGTGGGGGGGCTTCCTGGCACACGAGGCCCCAAAGCGCTCAGCTGCTGCTCCCCTGTGTGGGGAAATAAAAAAGCTGTCCACCCTTCAAAGCTTCTCAATGTTTACTGAAAAGATCCGAATTCCCCAAGTATATTATAACAGGTGCCCCTTGTGCACAGAAGCCATTAGAAAGCACTTTCTTGGGTCTCCCCGGTGGTGCAAGGGGTTAGTCCCAGCACTGTGAAGCTGTCCGCAGCCTCTGCAGCACGTGAGTCCTCTCACCCCTGCACCTCTGCCTGCACCCCAGCCCTTGGATGCATAAATAAATAAATATTTAAAAAAAAAGAGATGACCTGGCACCCCTGAGCAGGGCTGCCTCGACCTCTCCCCTGCGAGCGCCCACGTGTAGGAACAGACGCGCAGGGGCTCAGGTGCAGACTCACTTCCTCGTGGAGACCTTCACACGAACAGTGACCGAGAAAACAGCCGCACCAGACACCGCGGATGGGACCCCGAGATCGCAGCGTGGGGGGCCTGGTTTCATGCTACGGAGAAGCTCCTGCCGACCTGATATTTAGAAGAGGTGGGAGCGGCCCCGCGCCCGCCGGTGAGCACTCTGCATGGGCTCGAGTCCCCAGACGCCAACTGGCCACGAAGACGGGGTTCACTGGGCTGTGCAGACGAGCGCATGCGTGTGCCAGGCCTGATGTGGGCGCCGGGGCCTCGTTCGCTCACTCACGGGAGGTGGAGGATGAGCCCCCGCCACTTGCAACAACACGGACGGGAGTGGAGGGAGGGGTCGAAGGAGAAAGACAAGCCCGCGCTCCTCAGAGGGGTGCAGAGAAACCACACAGAAGAGCAGACAAACCAACCCAAACAGGCCCCAGAAACCCGATGCAGAACTCAGGGGGCGTGGCGGGGTGGGGGTGCCGGGCTGGGTGGCAGGAGCGGTGTGGTAGCGAGAACCTGTACCCCAAAGTCATGTACCTAAACAACGTTACCTCAATAAAAACGATGCAACTGAAAAAAAACAAAAAAAAAAACCTTTAATTTTACTACGTCTTCTACAGCCCAGAGGGAGATGCAGGAGGTTTAATGCGGTTTATTACGCGTCTATCTATTTACAATGCTCAGTGGTTGTCTATTGTGTCATCAATAGGCTCCTGTGAGATGAACTAATTAAAAAATGAGATATAAATTTGCCTCACCCCCTGTGGATATGTATTTCTATGAATTATAATAATAATGTAGATTAATAATTTGCTGCTGATTCTTACCTTAAGTCTTACCCTTTCAGGATAAAAATAGCCTTTGCTAAATAATTCATATGTAAAATCACGTTGCTCTTCATTTGTCACTGAATTGATTTTTCTATTGACTGTTCACCCAAAGGTGAAAAGAGGCATTTACTGACATTTATGGAAGGTGAAAGCAGGAAGTCTCTCAGCTGACTGAATAGCGAATATGAGTGTTTCAAATGCAAATCCCATTTTCACTGGATGC